CTTGCCCATTCGTTAATTTTCCTCTTATTTCTTCCTATTATTAAAAAATTTATGAAAAATGTTGATTAGTTTTATCATGCTTAGTATATGGCGATTCTGTAGCGCGATCTGTTGCATGAGGTCTTTTTTACACATATGATTACTGGCAGGTCTTATGTCCTTGACACGTACCGTTGGAGTTGGAGCTAAGAATTGCTGTTTGGTTCTAGTCTGCGAAGTATGGCCCACGGGTCAAAACATTTGTTTCGGCTTCATCAAAATAAGTTTTCCGAATTATCCTCATAATGGATGCGCGATAATCACAAGATGACGCTCCTCCAGTATTTTCTTTTGTTCAGTTTTCGCCTCCATCGCCCCACATAATTTCCTCATTCGGAATTCCCCAGCTTTTTCTTGGACGACCTACTCCACATTGGTAGTCCAGCGGAAGCCACTTTATTTTTCGCCGTCCTCCGGTTGTCTGTCAGGCGAGCCCTTCGACCGGACTATCTTCTTTTTGTATCGTGGAACGCAGAAATCACGTCTTTTAATCCAGTCCGTTGTCAGGTTTGTGTGCTGAGAAAACCTGATCTCAAAATAGACCTTGTACATTCTAGGCTCCATGGGTGATTTCATGAGTTTTCTCTCCTCAGCTTTATTAACACGCTAAAATTCAGCGCCATGAATAAGGGCCTCTTAGACTGTCGAATAGAACAATTCTTTCTTTGCATGTATGTTACGATTGTGCGGTTATCGCTGGACCATGACGCCCTTGTTTGAGCTGGTTTCCACGTCTATCAGATTTAAGAGGTTTACTTGACGGTTGACCTGAACACAACTGAACACTTCCTCGAGTTCATATAATTATGCACTGCTTAGTTTACTGCGATGCCTTCAAAGAGATGTTTGTTTGATCATCAACGATGGCTGAAATTTTTTTGCTGTGTGCAATTGGGCACAGCTGAGAGTCTCCTGTTGACAGTTGGCTGAAAGTTATTTCGCTTTTGTCACCTTTTATAGGTTTTGTTTTAACTATTCAAACCACTCTTTTCGCCAAACGCAACTTTTCATCAGCAGGTGACTAAAGGTCCTCGTTTGCAAAGTGTTTTCATAGAAAATCCTCATCGAATAAACTTAATTTGTACAAGAGGTGTTACTAGATTTGGAAGATTACGAGAATGGATAAAGGTATTTAAATTAAAATCTAACTTCTATCCTTCCTCCAACAATCGGAAGGTGTGCACTGTCCTGCCTTCACGCAGAAACCGATCATCTCTGTTTAAAAAGATTTTTTCCTACACTCGCAGAGTCCTCAACATGACCGTTTCTGTTTTGTGGTATCATCGAGAAACTGCCACCTCACCATTTGTTCATTCATTCATCTTAAAAACCCGTTTATCATTTCTGGTTGCGGCAGCGACTGGTTTAGGCGTACTTTCTTTCGGGTTCTGGTACAATTTACAAGTTGTACGATCTGGTTTTTTTATCGCGACGACTCCATATCGTAGGTATAATAGAGCCCTCAACACTGTGGTCTAGCCCATGTGTCCTCTTCCTTGTGGCTTTGCCAAAATAATGCACGTCTCACTACTTGAAGGAAATGGCTCACGTTGGCGGGTGTTTCGAACTGTCCTGATCCGGAGGTTAGTAAATTTCGTAACACCTGCAGTTCTTCAGAGAAAAAAATACACTTCTGCCGCTTGTTTTCGGGATTGTTACTTTTTCAGTTAGTAGCCCGTGGTCATAACTATGAATGTATCATTCGATTATGTCCAAATGGTATTTAGGAACTGACCAGACTTCGTAACGTATTCTTTCCTTCTGTTTCCAATATCGTTTTTTCACCATGCCACACGCCCCAAAATTATCGAAGAATGAAATATAAGAATTTTTCACTGTCGGAATACCGGTCTTCCTCGCATTTTCATGATTGTGCATTTCTGGCGCCCTTATTTCGTGAAGTTAATGGTGAGGACACTGATTTCCATTTCCGTGCTGTCACCAAAGAATGCGTTATTTTAGCAGCAGAGTCGATGGCATCTATTTGACAAGCATAATATGTATTCTCATATCTCTTTCCTACAGAGGGTTACCCACTTATCAACGAAAGGAAGACGAGTAACCGTACAGTAGCTTAAACCTGTGACCTTACGGTTGTGAGTCGAACGCTCCACCAACTGATCAGCCGCAGTTTCACGGTTATTATGATATCTCGTACTATCCAGTACTACCTTTGGCGAGTCACATTTTAATTACAAACCCGAGCATAATGACTGCTACGAATTTGTTATTAATTCGCGTAGAAATCGGGGCAAAACTGTCTCATTCTATGTCTTTTATCCTCGAAACTAACAGTGAACACTCATGGGCAAGATGGACGAAAGTCACGGCCGATGCTAAGAGGTTAATCGAATATATGCTTGTTGCCCTTGGGTAGTCAACAGTCAAGAATGTGGAATGGCAGGACGGTGAAAACTTGTTTCTTCAAGTCGTCGTCTATGTGGACGATGGTTGACATTTGTTATTTGTCAGTGCGCCATTATGGTGACCAATTAATTGTATTCGTGCGACTCCGCAGCAATCGTTTAGAGCTTCCAAGAGATGGGTTTAAATATTTGGCAGAAGACCTGCATTTATACCTGTACTTTGGCATATGCTACCGATGGATTCACTCTCTTTCTAGCAAAAAGGGGGAAGGGTGTTCTGAATCTCATGAGACCTTTAAAGATCTAAGGTGAACCAGATGAGGACTCCAAAAGCAGTATGCCGTCTATGATCATTTCTATAGGAAGCATGAGAACTGTTTCATAAATACGATCTATCCTTTAAATCTAGTCCTTTGCACCTATCTTCATGCTTTTATTCATTCCTCTTTGAGATCAGCATTCTGAAATGAATAAAAGTTTCAAATTTGAAATATTTCCCTTAAACAGAATCGCCACAAATCCTACTTTTGAGCGTAGTTGAGAAATAGCAAAGATATGCACAAGTTAAATTAATGATAAGTGTTGGTGAAATTAAATCATAATTGGCGCAATGTACAAAACTGAGTGCAACAATCGCGTGCTGAATGACAAGCGAATTACCAGAAAGCCTCTACGGTTTAAATCATTCTCCAAGCATCGGGATCATTGGCTCAACTTGAAACTGGCATATTTCGTCCGTTATAAGTTAGTTGTTCACCACGATGTCAACCTGAGGAAGCTTGGCGTACCCAAATCTGTGCTATCTATTTTAAATTCGATTGATAAGGATTCTTATTTCGGCCATACTGTTTTCTGCTCTTGTTTCAGTTTGTTCAGGTCATCAAGGAGAGATGGTTCACCTGACGATTCGAGTTGAAGGGTCGAACAAGGATCCTAGTTTGTCGTCGGCACTATTCATTTTATGTACATCACTATGTCATCTGATGGACAGTTCACTAATGGGTGATGTACTTTGACGATATTGCTCTGTTGGCTTCAGTATAGTCCAGATTTGAGTTATTATGTTTCTTCGCTTGCCTTCATTGAAGTTTGGTACCGGTTGAACGATGGTGGTCTAAACTGTTAATCCAAGCAAATCTGTGCACTGGATGATACTATGGTTTCCATCGAATTATGTCTGTAAATAGAGCCTTTAAGGAATTTTCCTTACCAACCAGTTCCACAGCACCTTCTTTGAAAAAGACTGCGTGGTAAAATACCTGGGTTGATTGCGCATGAAAGTTTTGGCTGCGAACAACGTTAACTGTCATGGCTGGTAAAGTGTGGCGATCGGTTTTGATGTTTTGCACAAAGATTTCACCAAATCCTACATTCTACCGTTCTTCCTCTGCGCTGTATCGGTGTTCTTTCGTAAAACGACTGACTCTCAGCCGGAGCCTTTCGAAGCTGCTTGCTCGACTCTATGACTGCGGTGCTGACCAGTTAATCTGTACAGTTCTGTTCTAACCGATCCAACTCACCCTTTTCACCAGTATTTCCAACGGTACTTTTCTACGTCGCCAAGCAAAAGAAGCGTGAGCTTTCCTTAAAAACGTTTGATCGAGGCTTCCCGACGGTTAGTCCCTCATTTCGTCGTCCGATATCTGATAGATCCCGAGATAAAAGAACTGTTTTATTTGATCCGCCTCTGGTCGGCCCTGATAGGGATGAACTTTTTCACTGTTTGATTTTGATTTGTTTTATATTTGAGTTTTGGCAATTTTTCATGTGCTTTAGGATTCACTTAAATAAATTTAACTGACTGGCTATCTCGCTGACTGACTGGTTGATTGGTTGGTTGGTTTGGTTGCAGTCTCTCAATATTACTTGAATGCGTGCTCGTAAAAGGAAAGATGCCATTGGTTTTCGGCGCTGCTTTCAGTTTTTTTACTCAAAGGATTGTTTCATTTGCTAATCGACAACTTGCTGTGTTGACACTTGTTTCAAGACGTTGTCATTTCTACTGTTTTGGATTTGCCTGTCGTTTGCTTGAACCGGAAGTGAGGCATATCTGTCACGCTCGTGCAATATTAATTTCTGCATTTCGTCGAAAATTCGTTTATCATATTTTAAGCCAGATTTGGAACTTCGTCACTTATCTCGCGTTCCGCTAGCGACAGTCCATCACTCAGTTAGTCACTCGAGAACTTGGCTGGAAATTTGTCGATATCCAGAATTGTTAAGCGTTTGGCGTGCTCTCACCATACATCATATGTTAAGTGCGGCTCTGGGAGATTGGTTTTTCCAAAGATCATCAGCGTTTGACGATGGTGACATGAAGCAAATGACCACACATCGCGCGTACCTTTGAAAATGGTGTTTACCACGATGAAGCTTCACTTACTCGCGACCTCAAGAGACAGAAGCAGTTATCAGCTTAAAGAGACAATGTCATGCCGTTTTATTAATGTTTTGGGGACTGAGTTTATGCCCTTCCGTCGATCAGCACATTTATGTCACATGATCGCACTTGCTTGAAGATCAGACGCCCGAGCGATTGACTATTGCTTGAATTGATGCTCATCGATATGCAGATGAATGATAGTTTTCTTTCGAATGGGAAGTGAAATTTAAAATTCATTTACTCACTTCCATATCCTGTATTATAATATCGTTGATCGTTGAACATCTTTTTCCGTCTTATTGTCGTTCTTTATAATGCACTACGTCTGATTAAATTCAGTGGATATTCGTTCCGTATCGGCTTCCTTGAGGAGCCAGGACGGGAAAATGTACAGAGATCTCATTTCCATGACTTACAAGAATTTGATTGTTAGTGAGACGCTTCGCGGAACCAAAAACAAGTTTAAAATCGAAAGGGCGTTCGATAGAGTGATGCGATATCACTGAAGCTATTTACCTCAGTCTGAAAAAGTAGACACCGTTAGGAAAATAAGATAAATGGGTACTAGGTAAGCGGACGACATTACAATCTTTTCAAGATAACTAGAAATACTGAACGACGCCAGCATGAAACTACGACTGAAAATGAACCTGAAGCTGACTCAGGTAATGCGTTACAGATTCGTGACACCGCGCCCTGTTGTAGCCAACGGCCATAGGTTTGGAAAAGTACCAACTCTGTCTGTCTTAGTTCATCGGGCAACAGAGAACTGACTCTGTGAAATCAAAAATAGTGGAAATAGCATGAATCGTTTTTGGAAGACTGAAAATGTTCCAATCCGGGAAATTGTCTTTGGGCTTGAAACGCAGAAATGTTCGAACGTATGTGCTTGCAGTTCCAGCCTATGTGTGAGAAGCGTGGAAGCTATTCGTAAACTGCAGTCTGCACAACACAGCATTGGGAGATGTATATTGGGAATGACAAGGAAAGATTTGACAACTTACATAGGTAAAAACATATGCTAGTGTCGGTGATGACATTGTCTCCGTGAAAAAGGAAGAAGCTTAAGTGACAGTGGGCAGGACACGTTGGAAGAAGGATCAACCATCGCTGGTGCAGAGAAGCACTTGGCTGGGTTTCAAGAAAGAGTAAACGACCAATAGGAAGACCTCCAAATCGATGGCGGGATTAGTTGAAGAAGTTTACCGGATCAAGATGGATGAAAATGGCAAAAATGCACAGATCTATTGCGAAGTCTTCGAGACGTCTTCAGTAAATCTAAAAAGGACTGTGATTATGTTTGACAGTTGTCCAGACGTAAAGGCTATCAGAGCAAACCTGTTATCAAGTAATGCCGTTCGGTTCTTAAAGATCATGGTTTGTTTGGTGGTGATTTGTGCCTCACATGCAAATCGGTGCTCTTATGATTTAGACGTATCAAATGGTATGCCCGTTGTTCTTCATATTCACCGGGTTATTTTAGCATGTACCGCTGTCATTAATCCTTTGAGTATGCAGTGTTCGCAGTGGCCACCATAGTGGGCAGCAACGTAGGTACCTGTGCATACCCGCAGTACACGGTGTTCTTTTCGATTTACGGTCTAAGCAGACTGAATGTCTATTGTTTTACCGTCATGATTCATATATTGAATGTTGCGTACTCGACGCAGGTTTTGTAGAACCATGTTGCAGAAGGGACACCCGATGCTTAGAGAGCACTTTATTTCAAGAAACCGAGCTTCAGCTCAGTGAAACGAAGACGGATTACATGACAGGTTGTTTCAGGCAGGGAGAACGGAGACAACGCTAACTAACCGGTGAAGGTGGCAGTCACCATATACTGCTTAAAACTCCTGTATTCATGTATTATGTTTCTGTGACACAAAAGGACAGATAAATCGACAGCTAATTAAGAAGTCAACAATGGTTCAAACGGATGGCGACGAGCAGAGTTCTGTATAAACAGAACATGCCATCGAGCTAAAGGTAAAAGCCTAGGGAAGAATACTGAGACCTGTAGTTCTGTACTGAACACAATGTGCGGCCACTTTGAAAGCTGAGGTTTCGTTATTACGATGAGCATGTAAACAAATTGTATTGGAAATTAACTGCACATAGAATCGGGAAAGTTTCTAGAGCAGTGTTGTTTGTACTGGTTCTGAATTCTTGTTGTTTATATGCATGTGTTGTTTTAGTTCTGGACTGCATATCGTTCATGCAGAACGGATCAGAGTTTACCAAAGTAAGGCCTTCTTCGAAACGCTATCGCCGTACTTTCGTGCTGGACGTCGACCATAGCATGCTCAGGTGGTGTCCAACGAACAAGAAACCGGATAAAGCTGCAAGTACCGTTTTGCTCATGCAATCCACGAATTAAGCGTTTGATTTTAGTACGCCTCGACTCGATCAAGGACATCAGGGCTGGCTCGTTTCTGACAGGCAGACGACAGTCAGAGAGCTTATCGGAGTCGACCGACAAAAACCTCATTTTTTCCATCATCTGGGGCGATAACTACCAGTGTCTGAACCTGATCGCTGATAGCCCGCAAACAGCTTTCATCTGGGTGGCTGGACTCAAGTCCCTGGTTGAAAATAAAAGTATAAACCGCGACTGTTAGCCATAGTTGTTTTGTCCTTCTGTTCAGTCGGTCGGTCGGGTTTATTAGTTTATGCTTCAAGTACTGTTTTCAGCATAAATGCACCTTCAAAAGTCCGTGAAATATTCATACATACATACATACATACATACATACACATATTCATACGTGCATGCATACATACATACACACATATACTACATACATACATACATACGTACATACATACATACATATATACATACATACATACATACATACATACATCTCATAGATACTTGCATACATACATACATACATACATACATTCATACATACATATATACGCACATACATACCATACATACACACAGACATACATACATATATACATTCATACATACATACACACATACATACATACATACACACGTACATACATACATACATACATACATACATACATACATACATACATACATGCATACATACATACATACACAGATACAACATACATACATACATACATACATACATACATACATACATACATACGTACATACATACATACATACATACTTACATACATACATACAAGATGATACATATATATACGTATACACATAAAATACTTTACGCCTTGTCTTTCTGTTAGTGACTTACCAAACATCGTATCATTTCCCGCATAAAGAAGTCGTGTACCTTGTTCTGTAAGGAAGAATATATATATAAGTCACGATTGATGCGGTCATTGGTCACCTTGGAACAGACGTCAGCGACACATGGACCGCAAACATCAGGTGGCCGTTTAAGACTACAATGCAAACATGGCACCATTAATCATACGGATCAACCAGACCCGCATGTAAACGTTAAATGCCTTTTGTCATTGTATTCTGAAGACGGACCGAGTGTAGTCCGAAACATCAGATTTCCCTAAAGGTGGGACGTAACATTATGTAGAAGCAGTTTCCTTTGCAGCTTTGGCTCTATCAAAGTCCTTGTCAGGAAAGGTAGAATAGGCTGCCAGTAGAGTTATGTCCAAGCTGGAAAGGTTGAACCCCCTGCTGGTTTCTTGGTGCAGGTGCAATGCGCTCTGAAACATGGGTGACTGACATGGCCAGCTATTTATGACCCATATCACAAGTTCTTGCAACTGTTATTCGCGCAGGGCGGCCGGCAACTTCTTCAGCAGGAAAAGAAAACTTCATAGCCGTTCTAACTTCTACCTTCCTTTCATTTACATGATAGGGCAAGTTCTAAAAGTTTCGGTTTCCTACATTAATAGTTGGAGCGCCTGATCTCCATTTTCGTTTTATCAGCTAGAAGAACCTTTTT